CCGGGCCGCGCCTTCATCGCTCTCGGGGGGCGGGGTGAGCGGCTGGGCTGTGGGTGCTGCTTGTCCGCAAGCACTGAAGGGCGGGATCTGACATACGCGGGGTCTTTTCCGCTCCCTTCTTCGTTTGGTGTGACGCCCTTTTGCAAGGGTGGTGAGAGGGCAAGGAGGTGGAGAGGATCCTGTGCCCTGCCTTGTGGCTCCTGGTTTCGTTCCTTAGTGAGGAACTAAGGTTGCCAGAGCCAACTGAGACAACAAAGGCATCCACAAGGGCTGGCCAGAGAAATTAATAAAGAGAGGCAAATAGAAAATTTGCCATGACCTTCCCATTTTAAAAGACTAACGAGTTGTTGGTCTTGCATGGTGACACGCTTCTCAGGGCTTGGGAAACATTTAGCACTCTTTCAGGTGCCAGGGATATACAGAACACCCAGATGAGTCTGCAAGATACAACACAGGAAGAAAAGAAAGACCCCAAACCCTCTGAGATGGCAGGGTGAGGACACACTAGACATTTTGGGCATCTCAGTGGCCTTAGATGTGGCTAGGCACCAAACCGAGTCCTTAGTGACCAAAGAAGTGATTTGCCATGCTGTGACAGAAAACTTGCTTTAGTTAAACAATCCTACTGCTGAACTTCATTGGCTTCTCTGTGACTTATTCAGGAATTGGAAGTTTGATATTTGGCAATCAACAGCTGAAGTGCCAGTGCAGGTTTTGTTAGTGCTCAGACTCTGCTTCAAGCAGGAAGTAAACATTCCTTCCAAGAATGGCATTGTTCAGTCAGTAGTGATTCCAGCTGCTTGTGATCTCCCTTCTCAAACACTCCTCTTCTATTTGCACCATTTTATGACTCTTGTGTAATAAGGCCATTGTTGCTATAGAAAGTACTGCAATTGGTTTGTGGATCTGGGCTGTTAGAGAGGCTTTTGTAAATATCCTTCAGTCTTAACAAGAAACAAGAGGAATGTTTTTCACAGTGCTTGACCTTGCCATCCTGTCTGTTTTTAGACACCTGATTCACCTTACTGCAGAGATTAATCTCCCTAAAGTCCTACATGGTAAGAGATGAGTAGCTCCAGGAAAAAATCAGAGGGAATTAGGATAACTGCTACTATCTCTGGTGACTTAGGCCAATGTGTAAAACTGAAGAGATCAAACCTGAATAAGGTGCCCTTTCCTTAATTAAGTTTCAACCAGTGTATTAAAAAGTTGTTTACATTTAATTTTGTCTATGTTATGTTCAGATTTTTGCCAGCAGCACTAGAGTCCCTGCTTCTTGGTCTTCAGGGATATTAGAAAAATAAAGCTAAAGTGAGGGATAAGTCTTTGAAGACAAAGATGTTTTGTTTTTTTTTTTTTTACCTGAGGTTAAATATAGGACAATATTATTATGACTTCAGTGTGCTTCAGCTGGCAGAATCCTTGAATGGCTGGGGTTGGAAGGAGCCTTTAAAGGTCATCTATTACCACTACTCTGCAATGAGCAGGGACATCTGAAGACCAGGTTTTACCACATGTGCAAGTCTATAAATCTTTATGCTCTGAAAAACTTTTTTTCTTATTTCTTGAACTCACTTGGAACAGGCTCTTGAGATAGTAGAGAGACACAGGTGACAGACAAAGACAGCCAAAGATAAGGAACTGTTTAAGGAACTGTTTACAAGTAATAATTCAATAGACTCTAGCTAGGGAGGCATATGCCAGAGGTGTATCAAGTCATGAAAGGCACAGAAAAAATGAACACAGAAGGGCTTTTTTTTAATAGAAGAACTAGAGGGCATTGAAGACAATTATCATGTAGAAGACTGAAAAAAAGTTCTTAGAAGAAAATAAAGTGCCTTAAATTACGAAACTCTGGATATTAAGAACATTAAGAGTTTCGATTAGGACCAAAATTTGGATTTTTTTCCATAAATATGTTTGTTAACAGTCATTAAGTATCCAGATACCTCTGGTTCAGAAAGTCCTTGAACCACACTCCTTGAAGTTGTGTGCAATTGCTGAGAAGATGCATTATATGATTGCTTTGTTCTGACAGTCTTCCTGAGGCATTTGTTGCTGACTGCTATTTTAGGTGAGATGCTGAGTTAAAAGTGGCCTTGAAATGTCTTTATAGAGCTGTTCTTACTAATTTTCTTTTTCTTCAAAGCTTATGTTATATTCCACCTGATTGCACTGAATTATGTTTGAGACAGAGGGGAAATTCTTTTGCTTTTTTTTTTAAATCTTATTTTTGGATGCTTTTATGTATTCAGTGAAGAGTGACTTCTCATAAAACGGCTCAAATTCCAAGCTTTCCAGAATTTGGGATTTTTCATTGAGTTGCTTCTATTACAGTTATGTTAGAGGAAGTATTTAACTGCAGCCAAGTGGGAGAGGAGGGGAAAACAATTTGCTGAGAGCTCTTCAGAAGTATGGATACATCCATCTTCTCAGCTTTAGTTTTATTATGCCTTTGGGGGAAAAAAACCCATTAATATAATTTATGAACAGCTGTGGTAATTCTCTCACAATAACTATTCCTACAGTAATGAAACACTTTTTCTCTTGGTTAGGTAGCCGCTCCCTCAGCAGACATAAATTGCCAGGAAATGGAGTGTAGATGACAAGAAAAAGTGGTCTACCAAGAAACTGACTTTGGAACAAGTCAGTATATATTAAGATTGCAAAAAAAAAAAAAATCTCAGAACTTAAAACAGATTTTGATTATTTTGTAATTCCATACATATTTCAAATGACAATTTTTTTTTCCAGCTCTACAGATTTTGCCTGGGGTTTTGAACAGTGTTTCTACTCATGCATTTTCAGCATCACCTCTGGCCCCTTTGCCTCATCTCTGCTCCATTGTTGTGAGAGAACAGCTTAATGAGCCATTCACTGGGTGTCTGAACAAGGAACAGATTGGGCTGACAGAATCTTGTCTTCTTTTTTTAGCTTGTTTATTTTCTGTTATCACAAGTGCTAACAATCTCAAAGGTGACATATGGGTTACAAAACCTGGGTGTGTTCAGTTGATTCCCTTAGTGGCAGTATTACTTCATCACTGTGGCAGAGTTTACCCAGCTTGCCTGATTGTGGTATGTGTAAATAATTCAGCTGATGAGTCACAAAAGTGATTAGAATATCACTGGGGGTTTTTTAGAATATCACTGGGGGTTTTTTTTGTGTTGGACTTATGAACACAGACCTTGGTAAAAGACTTTTACTGCAGCAATATGTTGTTCAAAAAGCTTTTTTAGTTTGTGACTGGCTGGACCACGAATGTATGTTCAGGTTGCAGTTTGGTTTGTAATTAGATCAGTGTTCCCACAAAAAGCAGTCTGTACTTCTCTCTCCCTGAATACTTGTTCTTGCAGCTGAAAAGTGCTGTGGTACATGCAACAGAAACATATCTGTAGTCCTGCAGAGAACTGATGCAACAGGAAGTTACTTTTTCAGTGAGATCAGGGATACTCTATGGGTTCACTGAGCAGGGGACCAAATTCTTGTGCTGGCACAGCACAGGAATTGTACTCCAAGGGCTTTTATTTGTTTGTTTGTTTTCTCAGTTCCAAGACCAGCTTAAATGTCTGATGGCTTCATATAAAGGCTTGAGGACATTGTTGGAGCCATGTGAGAGGGTTTGTAGGAGATCTAGTACTCTGTTAAAGTAGTAAGTGATTATATACCTACAGGGCAGATCTGCTGAGTAAGGACATGCACCTTCATATAGTCTTCCTTAAGAGTCTACTCAGATTTTATTAAAATGGTTTCTACAACTGTCTTCTTAAAAATATTAATAATATCATTTTACAGAGCAACTATGAGTACAGACTACTTTTCTAGGTCAGATACAGAAAATTAGATCATCCAGGTCAATGTCCACTTTCTGTCATACAATAACCAATCTTCCATAAACAATCTTTGGTGAAACAGATCTCTTGAAGGTGCTAATAATTAGAAGTGGGAAGTATGATAAACAACCAAGCTCTGGTCCTGCAAAAACACAGATAGCAGATATTTGCAGAGATCACACCAGTGTGGTTTATTCAAGGTTTTTGTGGATTTGCTAGAAATGCAACAGTCCAGTTTCAGCTTTCAGACAAACCCTGGTTTTAAACCAGACACTGGCTTTTAAATAGTATTATTCAATTCAGATATGATCAGCTGAACACTGCTGGGACAGTTATAGAAAGTCAGTCTCCTCAGCTGATGTGGGGTTTTGATGTTATGGAAGTAAGACTTGCACCCTCAGTGAGTTTTTGCTTGCAAAGAGGGAGCCTAGAGGAATACACAGGAGCAGTTCAGTGTCTCTGCTAAGGGTGCTGGTAGCAGCTGATGTTCCTTTATTTTCATTGCGCAGTACTCAGATGACCACACACAATGTTTAGGGAATAAACATACTTTTAGAAGAGTATCTGCATAATTACTCAATTATCTTGTGGTTATACTGAGAGATAAAAATACTAGTCTCATCAAAAAAGGTATATAGTGATAATTCTTGCTTTCTGACCTACATGTTTTTCTGACATAAAGGGTTTTTTTAAAGGAATAGTTGAGAATAGCTTTATGTGCACTGTTCTGCAAAATGGTTAATAGTACTGAATTTCAGTCAAATTGAATTATAGTCTCTTGTTTGTTTAGTTAATTATAGTCTCTATTGTAATACTACTATCACCAAAATGACAAGCCAAGTGCTTCAAACTTTTATTTCAAACTAAAATGTACTGCAGTCAAATCTGGCAGTGCATTAATAGCTGTTAACATTTAGTCCTCACTAATATTTCAAAAAAGAGTAATGAATTTTCTAATATATAAAGTACCAAACTGATCCGTCCTAGCAGGGCTAACTAATTTATTTTGAAAAGCATTGGACATATTTAGACAAAGACTAATTGTTAAAAGCAGCATTTCTTCAATGGCAGGGCTGATTTGCTTTCTGGCTGAGCAGTGTTGCATTAAAAATGGACAGACTTTTCAAGAAAAATAGTGGGGCCTTGGCATAGGCTGTTGCTGAGATCTCCCAAACAGGAGGGTTGGTTGCAGTCTGGGTAGTGACAGGAGTCGCTGGGTCAGGGGAGACTCCCTGAACTGCTTCCCTGCTCAACTCTCAATTGTCTCTCCTGCCAGCTGCCTCCTGATCCTGTGAGACTACTTCAGCATGTACATTATCCATTGTCATAGTGTACTTTAAACTAAAACATCTTGCTGTATTAACTATGTGCAAAAGGACTGCTCTGTGTGACCATGTCTGTGTATTTACAAGAACAGTTTCTAAAATTTTCATGCATCATACCTGCATGCAATCCCAGCAGTTCTGCAGCAGGAACCACCAGGAGGGTCTGAAAGGGCCAGATTCTTCACCCAGGAGGTGTAGAAAATTGTCTTGGAGCCAGCAGGAGCTTGGGAGGTACCCTCAGCACTGTCTGAATTCCTCACCTGAAAATCTTTCGCAAGAGTTAGACAGATCCTTTTATTGTGGAGCTGAGGAGGAGCCAAGTCTGTCACCTTGCCTTTGCTCAGCTGTGTGTCTCTTCTGTGCAGGGACTAGCTGAGGAATTCCTGGAGCACCCAGGGAATTAAAGAGTTTGGGGCACTGAGTGTGCACACAGGGACACCCCTAGGACCCAGCTACACCACAATTACAACTAAAGGACAGCTTGACTTTCATCCATTTATCTCACACTAAACTTGGATACCAAAGCTCTTGTCACAGCACCTCTGTAATTAAAACCTTGCAGAACAGCATCCAGCTATGAAATAAGATAGGCAACTTGTGATTTCCTGTGAGTCTGTCTTGAGATTTAACTGAGCACAGGTTTTTCCTGGGAACATGGATATAATGCCACACAGGTCATGCTCTTTTAAATTGCTCTTGCTCTCTTGAGAAATCTGTTTCCAAGATTCTGCACTTTTTCCCAGAATGAATTAATGTAATGATACTTATTTGCATATTTTGTATTTATCATTGGCTTTTCTTTATTCTGTCTTGCCTCAGTCATAGCTGGGCAAGAGAGACATTGTAGTGCAACATTCACTTGGGGTAAGGTAAACGGGAGAGTCACAAAACAACAGCTCAACAAAAGAAGGGTTCTGTTGCATTCAGAAATTACTAACTCCACTATTGGTTTAACAAACTGACAGATAATATCCTTTGGCTGTTATTTCCCAGGACTTGCATGTGAAAGAGTTCCATTGTCAAAAAATGGGCAAAAATCAGCCAACATTGTAATGCCAAAGTATGGGGTAATTATTTACCCACACAGCTGCTCTTATTTAGTCCATTTTACAAACTGTGAGAGGACCAGATTTTCTCTTGGCATTTCACAATCTGTATCATATATAGATTTCCAAGTGAAACAGACTTGTTTCACTTGGACATCGGATCTTTTCCTTAATACTGTGTATTTCCTGCCTTGTCAGCACTTCAACTTTTCTTTCCGCTGCTGTAGACTTGGATGTGGTTCAGAATGCCATATAGCTATGGCATTCAGAGATCTCATATATCTCTGTTCTGTTTTTTTTTTTTTTTAATACAGTGTTAATATAATTTGCTTCTTGGATCAACTTAAGTAATTCAAGAATCCTAATACCAAAATATCCTGTTGTGTCTTTGGGCTATCTTCCACCCTCCATCACTTTAATTTAGACCAATTAAGAAATAGTATCTGTATCTAATTATTGCCCAGGAATTTCATGTAATACCAGTTCTACACCATCACAGAAAAGGAATCCCTTCTGTCATATGCAATATAAAATTCCCAACCTTATTTAAAAATGGGAATGTATAGTTCCAGCACATATCCCCAAATTACCTCATCAGGAATTTTGACTGTAGCAAGTACTTATATGTTGCTGCTATGAAGAAATTAGGGTACAGACAAGATACTGCTGATTACCCTGCTTAGTTTCACCTGTATTAACCAAAGCAGATAACTACTGTTTTAGAAAGTTGCAGCTTTATGAATATTCCCCTAAACACAGCATTCTGTCCAAATCTCCTTGCTTGTGCTACTGAACTGTAATGTTGGGAATCTGGGAGTGTACGAATGTCTGCCTTTACATCTCAGATATTTTCAACACAACTGTGATCAAATCCTTATTTTGATTTACAGATAATTTCTTTCTAGGCAGTGGGTGACAAACTTATTTATAGAGGGGTCATATACTGAGTGGAAATTTCCAATTTAAACACTATGTCCAAATTTCTGATATTTTCCTCCATGCCTGTGCCAATGGAAAAGGAAATCCTGCCTTCTCCTACATTTTCCCTTCTTATGTCCAGCCAGAGTTGTGCACTTTGGACAAGTGATAAGAGACACAACAGACACAGTAGTTGGACACAGACAATATTTTCAGGAAATGTAATAATAATTTAAAGCTGTAGAGAAAACTTTAAGAGCTCAGGAAAACAAATTGATAAAACAAATTGATAGCTCCCTACCATTAGGAACTTGTGTTTAATCTTGTTGGAAAGCTGTGAAACCAGAGCCAGAAATAAACCCAAGAAAATGTGTTGAAGTATTTCACTAAAGGCTAATATCAAGATGAAATGCAAAACGTTGTAAAAATAGCTGTAAGAAAAATATTTTCCAGAACCAACCCAGGAAACATGACCAATTTTAGTTTGCTAACTTACAATAATATTCAAGCAAATCTAGGCTTATATTATCTTTAACAGACCATACAGGAGCTTCTGCAGTCCCATATGCCATTTTTGGGGCCCTACAAAAATAATGAGAATTCACCTGAGATATTGTCTTGTAAAAAATGGTTCCTGGAGGGCTGCTGTGGACTTCTGGACCTAGAGAACTGACTTGCCCATGCTAGGAAAGCAGGAGAAGGACTCCGAAATTCTTTAGGGAATGAAGCCATCCATGAAACAAAGACAGGTATGGTGTACAGAAAGGCTGTTAGAAGAAAAGGACAATTTTCTAGGGACAGAACCTGTCAAAGGCAACCTTTTTTTCTCTAGAAATAGTAATCTACTTGGATGATGGAGAGTCAAAAGCTGCAGGGTTTTAGTACTTTTGTATGCACACACAAGAATCTCAGAGTCATATTTCATCAAATCATGTTTTTTGTCTAATAAGACCTTTTTGAGTTTAGTGAGTTTCAAACCTAAAAGTGTTTGTGATGTGTTTGAATCTTACCACGAGTAGTGAAATTCACTCTGAGCAAATTCTGCTCTGCCAAGTGTTCAAGATCATCTGTAGCAGCTCTAAGCAGATTAGCGAGCCTGAGAGAATGCCAGCTCCCAGAGGACCTCTCCAGCAAGGCTTGCAGGCATCAGCTGCCAAGATTAGTGGTTCTCAGGGTTCTCATAACTCCTGGCTAATTGAGGTGCAGCCACACATGCAAACTAACTGGGACTGCTGCAGCTTAGTGAATGATGAGCTCCATAACAGCTGACACAGGAACTGCTGAAAGCCCCACCAGCATCTCAGCTCAGCCACAGCACAGAAACCTCGTGTTGTGGCTGCCAGTGTCCCAGCGTGCCATGAAGCTTGCAGAGCCAGCTCATTCCCAGGTGTTCAGCTGACTGTCCCTAGTATTTGCAAGGGAAATGTCCTCACCTCTGCAGCTGTGGAGGTCAACAGCATTTGGTCAGAGTTGCAGGTAACAAGTTAGATCTGAATATGCCCCCACCACAAGCCTAACAAAGAGCAGAAAGGTGAATGTGTTTTTTTGATGATTGGACTTTTGTTCTCAAGGCCTTCCCTGGGAGATGCATAATTGAATCAAACAGAATAAGCAGCAACATAAGGCTGTTAAATTTGTGCAATCTCACTTACCTGAAGCTGTACTGAAGAAAAGATGCCCTCCGCTAAGCCCATTTTGTGACAATGCAATTCCTTCCAGCTGCTTCCCGAGACAACAGTTTTGCAAGGAAATTCAGCCTGTCTACAGAGCAGCGTGGCAAAACAGTAGAAAGAACCTGAGCATTTTATTGTTGCTGACTTAAGAGTCATAACAGTGAAATGATAGTAATCCATGGTGCTGAGTCCTAGAGATAACACTAAGCTATTCACATCTACCCTATAAATGAATGTAAATACCTTACTATCTGGCACTATTAATCTACTAAAAAAATAGCTCTTTTCTTACTAATATCATCACTTTCTGCAAACATACATAGTCTAAAGCAGTGTGATCTTCAATAGAAGTCAACTCCTTTTTGTGCTTCATTACCTTTTTTCTTGCCATACTGTTTTTCTGAGTGAATTAGGATGAAATGAAAGAAACAAAGGAACAAACTTTGAAATGTTTTGAAACATGATTTTTTTTTTGTCTGGCTAATAAATGTTCTGTGTTTTTCTCCAAATGCAGCATTTTTCAACGACTTCTAAAATTGATAAAATCAAACCACCTTGAAAAATTTTCAAATTAACAGAATCTTTCTTATGCAAATTGCTCACTAAGTGAGAAAACAAAGGTATCAAAGTAAGGCTTCATGAAGAATCAACCTAAGACTGCCATCTCACCCTTCTTCCACTCACATATTCCCACTGTCTCCTTCGTGTTGGCAAGAGAGCTTGTGACCAGGAGGCAGACCAGATTAGCCCCTAGGGGGCTGAAAACTAAATAAGCAGAAAAGATAAACAGCAAAAGGAGCAATAAGACATGATTTCATCTCCTGGTAGCAGACTATACTTACATCTACTTAAGCCCATCAAAAAAATCACATGCTGCAGCCTCTTGAATAATCAGTCACAAAGGGTCTTCAGTAATGTAAGATAGATCCAGGACCTGTTTTAGGAAACAACTTATTTTTACATAACTGCTAGTATTTATTTAAACTCCAATGTGAGTTTGTAACTGATCTAACACATTTGCTTATAAATATATTGTGGCTTTGGCAAGAAAACTAGAGCAGTATCAATGGTTACAGACCCACTGAGTGCTGGAAAGGCTGTGGGTGATATGGGGCGGTAAGATCACAGAGAGACTGGAGAGCACCAAGCCTTGGTGCTGAAATGTCAGCCTTGCCAGTGATGGCTACACAGCAGGCATGGCATATAGCTAAGAAGTGCTACTGAGCACTTGGGTCAATGTCTGTGGTCCCCATCCTGTCTGGGCAGTACTTGCATGCTGGGTTTTCCAGGTTTGCTTGTATTCCTCTAGGAGTCTGGGATGTTACATAAAGCTTATTCAAATACTTAGAGCTTTCATTACGTATTTTTCTCTTTGTTAGAACAGAAACTAGGACAACAACAGCTCTTGGAAGTCCAGTTGTCTGGTCTCTCTCCTCAAAACAATCAGTAACTCATACACTACAGCTCACCATAATTTCTATTGCCCTTTCTCAGCCTTTACATCTCTTGCATCTGCCACACCCAGAAGACAAGGGCCCCATACTGCCCAGCCTGAGTAACCAAATTGACTCTTTGGTACAGAGACAAAAAGCAGTTTTGAAAACAGTAAAATCTTCTTACCCTCCAACGAGGCCTCTGTATGTCCCTCCTGATGAATAATGATACAGCAATGGAACAAAAATCTTACAGGAAAGCTCGTGCTGCTTCTGAGGTGCACTGCTGCTCAGTAGGTACATGAAAGATAAGTAACATTACACACCTAATGAACCACACGTGTGAACTCAAGTCCTGTGAAATAAAACAAGGGAAAAAACTGCCAAGACATTTGTTTCCAATGAGCACAAATAGGTGGGGTAGTTTTACAGGAATTTTAATATTAAAAAATGAGTCACTCCCACATTTTGGAAGAAACTGAGTTCTCTGCGTTCTGGTATTTACGCCAACATCCAACCAGCCTCTAAGTTTATACCAGATCAAAGACAGAGGAGGCCTGTCTGAAAGTGACAGCAAAGGAGGAAATCAACCCACTGAAGCAGAGATTATAAAATCATTTTTCCACCCCCTCAGATGAGCTGTGGTACTGAGACAACTGCTTTTTACTGTGCCTACTGCACAAGAACAGTTCTCATACAATCTATTTCCCAAAACAGATAAAACCCAAATCTCCTAGAATGCCAGCTGGGAAGACTAGAAATCCTGAGGAATTACCAGCACTAACTGTCACTCTATTCTGCCAAACAATTCAGGTTTTGTGAGCTTGAACTATGGTATCAGCATTTTTAACACTCAAAGGGATTTTGTAGTTTGCCCTTAACAACGGGAAAAGGCTCAGTGTAGCAATGTGGGTTTAGACAGTGGGCGCTGTTTTACCTATAGCTATTCCCCAGTAAGCATCTCCTGTGGAAAAGCTGCCTGGGGAAGGGTTCAGGCAGGGCACTCAAGTCCACACACCCCACTCACCACTGCTAGCTCAGTGAAGAGAGGCAGCAGGGCCTTTAGTATGGCCAGATCCAGAGAGGTTTATTGCATCCACCACGCCAAAGGGAACCAGGGACAAAACACCAAGCCATGTGGGGTGCACAAGGTGAAGTGTGGGGTCAGTGGGCAAGGGTTTGAGAGCACCAGGATGGCAGAAGGGACAGTTTAAAAGGCATTGGCCTACAGGGAAGATGGGGCTGCCACCAGGGATACCACAACCAGTGAGCAAACAGGGAAAGGAGAAACTATGAGAGTGTGGGACATATGAGGAAAGGAATGGGGTGAATCATGGTGTTGTGCAAGACTCCATGGGGAAGTCCTTTCTGTCCACCTAGGTGGGAAAACCTCTATAGTACCTTTCCAAGGCCATGCCCTGGGAGTTTCCCTGAGGGGCAAGGATTCAGAGGATTCCACAGCTCAGTACTGAGTCACTGTAACCTGCTGAGCTGTACTAGCCAGGAGCAACAGGCAACAGAAGTGAAGCATCAAGAACCACCACCATCCTTCAGGAGTGCCACAAGTCCCTGGGATGCCCAAATGACTTGCACAGGTCAGGAGGTAGCACATCCTCCAGCTGACAGCACATCCTGCACAGCAGATGGGAGGGCAGGAGTTTGGCTTATCCACCCTTTTCAGAAGGGCTGGTTTGGGGCTTTGTGATGCTTAAAAAATTGTTTTGTTTTGCTCAAAGCAGGAGTTCTATAAAATTAGGCAGCTAAAATGCAGTATACACATTTTAAACCAATTAAGGTTCAAAATACTCTGGTGATCAACAGTGGTCACCTGATCTGGTGATCAATATGGAAAGATAAAGTCTTTCACATTCTAGCAGCTGCTGTTTTCAACAAAATTAATCAAAATACACTGCATCTGTATGAGACTCTTTTATTAAAAATACATATCATCTGTTTCACATAAAAAGAACCAACACTTAACACAATTTAAAGAAGTTGGACAGGAACTACTTGAAAAAAGACAGGTTCCTGTAATCCCGGAGCACCCAACCTTTACTGCACAAGGTACAAATTAAAATCTTTCTGTTCAAGACTCCAAGTGCTTGTCCTGCACAAGCAGTGCCCAGGAAGGTGCAGCTGGTCAGAGGCAGGGGTGCTAACTGCTCCCCAAAGGCTGTTCCCTGGCAGGCATACCTGCAGGACACATGGGCTCTCTCCCAGTCCAGGGACGCCTGGCACTCCCCAGCCCTGGTGCTGGGCACGATGGCAACCTTAGCAAAAAAAAAAAGAAGTTGGAGTGGCACTCAGCTCAAGTGTCACAGGTTGGCCATGTCTTTCTGTAAAAAAGGAAATACAGCACAGCACTTCCAGGTAATTTCACTTAGGATTCAGCAGAAACATATTAACAGCATTGATGAAAGAAAACCAGCTATGCTTCGGTGATAGAACATGATGCAACAGTCTGCTTGCTAACTGAAACCTATGCTGGAATCCATTATCTTCTGGAGCCCTACTTTTCATTCATCTCTGGCTTTTGGAAAGACACAATTTTCAAACCAACAAGTTATCAGCTTAGGCAGCAGCAAATACTAATTAAAAGTTCTGTGCATAAAAATCAAAGTCAGAATACAAAAGAGCTGTCAGAGGCATCTGCTATTAAAGTGCACAGAGAACAACACTGGCTAAACTTATATTCTTGTAGAAAGCAACAGTTTGCCAGGCTGTCATTCTTGTTCTGGAGATGCTGAAAATTCAGCTCCTTTTTAAGTCACCAAGAGACACATTCATCAATTCTTAAAAATGATCAAAATACTTCACAAATTCAGGCTCAAAGAGTGTATCAGATGCTGACTGTAACATTTACTGGCCAACACATAACTGAAGCAAGGCACAAAGAAGGAAAGACACTGAAGTGATGCAGAAGCAAGATGACATTAAATCCCACACCAGTGGCCCCTTTGCTTTGACCTTACAAGGCATTAAGGGAGACGGGCAGCTAAACCAGCAACAGTGCTGGACAAGCAGATGAACAGTTCAGTTTTGAAGAGAAAAACTTGGCTTGCATGTCATTACACATGTCCTAATCCCATGCAAGTCATGATCTCATTAAAAAAGATACTTCATACTCTCACACCCTGTAAACCTAAAAGAGTATCATGTTTAGGCCTTTAGAGGCATATTTCCTTACATACTCTTTATTTATACTTTATTGTCTACAGTGTTAATTCCTTAAGACTTCTGTTAAATCAAGCACTGTGTTAAAGGCCTGGCACTTTATTGACAATGCTGGGAATTATGATAGAGATCAGCTTCCTCCCTCAGTCCACTGAAATCTGAGATCTGCCAGCTCAAACACGATCTTTCTTTGCATAGTGTTATTTCACAAATTTTAACAGACCAAGATTTGCCCAGTACAGTACTTGTTTCTATTCCTAACACCTAGAGGAGGAAACTAAATGGTTTTCAGGACCTTGGATGAATCTTCAGAACTGGAATTAAAGAAATTGATTTGATTTTTTTTTAAGAAAACCAAATTTATTCTGGGGTTAATGAAATGCAAATATCCACTAAGCTCCAGAATGCCACCAATCAAAACAGCTTTCCTTACTGGGATGACATCTTAAACATAAGATCCTAATTTACCAAAACCTGAGAGAATCAAATGCTTGCTTTAATTATAGCACTCTTCAACTCACTGTCATGAAATTTTCAAGTAATGTCAAAGCCCATATTAAAGAGCTTGGATCCTTAGGTCTCATCTCCTGCTCTGTATTTTAGAAGGCAAAAAGTGATTTAAAGACATCCCACGTTGGGAATTTACAATCCCTCTTCATCCTTGCAGAGCTACACAGTGAAGCTCAAAAGTTACTCAAAATAGCATCTTATGGAAAATAGGATCAGGAAACTTTCTGCATTTATGAGGTGGCAGCAAGGGAAATAACTCGATTTTAAAATAACTGAATTTGAAAGGTGTTAAAGAACCAAGCTGAAAAGGTTAATTCTTAATCAGTAATGAAATAAGCTACAGCATGAAAAGTCCATCAACCATAAAGATCAACTATGAAAAAAACACAAGCTCATTGGTCCTTGTATATACACTTTTAAAAAACATCTAGATTAAAAAAACCTCTCCCCAGGGTTATAATTCCCTTTTCAGAGAGATGTTGTTATAGCTTGTACACAGTGTTTCAAAAGGGTCTTTCATAGTCTTCATAATTCTTCATGATTTTCCTAACCTTCCTTGTAGGGAGTGACATTTCTCTCCAGAACTGAACACTTTACATCATACTTGAAAATCCATTTTTAAGAAGGCCTTCAAATAAAGCATCCAAGGTTCTAATCACAATTTTTAAATACTAGTGTTTTTACTTTTAATCACAAAATAGATCTTGTGAATTTGTTAACTTAGTAAAAACCAGACTAGAAATAAAATTCACAAAAGATTTCTAGCCTCCAGTAATTCACGAAATGCTATTAGAGCACAGAACAACATTCATAGCTAAATCAGTTTTATTCCTTCTGACAGCTACATTGAAAATAAAGGGTAATTTGGCACTAATTCTGTTACAGAAGTTCCAAAGCAGGTATCTGTATGTGTGTACAGCAAAAAACCAAAGAACAGTGCACAGAACTGAATTAGTCTGCCAAACACCCTTTTCAGACATCACATATTACAATATGTGGGTCTGGATGAACAAGAAACTCAGTGAATCCCCTACACCCAATTCCACTGCCTGCATCTGGACAATACACGGGTGCAAGGGTCTTACAATGAGATTGGAACCTAGAAATAGCTTATTAAATCTCAAAGACGTCCAAACCTCCTTTGACATCAGCAAGCAAAAGGATGGATGCATACAATTGTTAATGTGTACTGATCTAGCATTAGCAGCAATTGTGACTGTAGTGAGCTCAGAGTCAAAAAATAAGAAAAAAAAAAAAAAAAAAAAAAAAAAAAGGAAAAGTAGAGCAGCAGTAACAAACAGACCAGAACAGCAACAGACTTGCTG